TTCACATAAGAAGGGTAGTTGAAATACCACTCCTTTAATAAACCTTCAAGAAAAAATACAAAAGCCTTAACTTGAACATCATCAACATTTACATGCATAAGCTTCATAGTATTACAAACCAAGTAGAGAGTATGTAAAAACTTGTGACAATCCTCTCTCGATAACCCATGAAATTTAGGCAATGCATTAATTAAAGAGGATTTAATTTCAAATTTAACATTAGGAGGAGGAACATACAATCCATAAGGATTATCATGCTAATTAGGCTGAGTTAATTGCCTAATGCTCCTCTCCTCTCTAGGATTATGCAATTATCATGCAAATGATCATTCCCATTCCTATGGCCCTCATTATGCACATGATCATTCCCTAAGATATCTTCCATTGTTAAATTACAAACCAAATGAGAATCAAGAATAATCTTCTCAACCTTGAAATAGTCCTTTCAATTTCTGAATCTAATTCAACAAAAGAGGTATGTTTCCTTCAGGTCATGCACTAATCAAGCTCAAGAAAATTAAGAACAAAGAATAAGCTATACTAAAATGCAAAACACAAAGATAATTCAAAACACACAAAAGCAAGAGAAATTTTTTTTTTTCTATTAAACTCAACAGCATCTAAATGAACAAACATGATCAAAAATAATACCAAACAAGTAGAAAGATTGTTAGAAATGCTCAATCAAGAAAATTTGGCAATTTTAAAATTTGCACAGCAAGCTCTCTAGAGATAGTGAAATTGTGGATTTTTAACAGCTAATCCACATAAGAAATTCCCCTAAAAATTTTATGAGAGACGCAAGAGATATACAGGAAAATTATATAAAACTTTCATATCAAAACTCCTTCCTAATCATTTCCAAAATTTTCACAAAATGGTCCGTAGGTCTAGAGAAACAAGATTTCATCTAGAAGACCTTCAGAACTTCCAACAAACTTTCAAACAAAAACATGGGAAAATTGAAGAAAATGCTAAACAAAGAAACAAAGATAAGACAATAATGAAAAAAAGGGAGACTGAAGTCAATCAATTTAGACATACTGAGAGGGAGATATGCCAACTCAAAGTTGCAATAGGGTTTTAAGAATCCTTTATGAAGGCTCCTTGGACCTTTATTAGCTTGTAAAAATTTCACAAGACACATCCCACATCCAAAATTGACCAAACTAATTTCAAAATGGATATAAGATATAGAGCTTTTAAATGCAACAAATTTAAAATCAAAATTCTCCTAGACTCATTCTTAGTTAAATTTTTAATTTTAGACAGAGACACTAAAAACAAAGTATTTTCAGCTCTACACTAAATAAACTCACAAGCACATTAAGAAAAACACAAAACATAAATTTTTATAACTTTTCTCAAAATTTTTTAGAAACACTAAAAATGTAAATTAAGCACCAAACAACCCTAAATCAAACCAAAACATAATCCCGACAATGGCGCTAAAATTTTGATTGGAATTTAGTCACTTACCCTTAAAATTTAACTAAAGCTAACCCTAATGCAATATAGAGCCAATCCTAGGTCATCTCCTAAGGAATGGTCTTATTCTAATTAAAAGTTATTTAGTGGAATAAATCACCTAAAGTTGTAGGAATTTAGTTACCTAATTATTTAAACTAATTACCTAATGTCAAGAAATTAAAATACTAATTAAAATGAGTGAAATGAACTTTCCTTTTCACAAGAGTGGAACTATAGAGATTAGTTAATTTTAGACTCATTATCTTCTCATGATTAGACTAACTTTGGCTTCTCTCTCTTCTCGACCTAATTAGCTAACTTCCCTAGATCTTATATTAAAGTCCCTAGTTCAATTAACCAATTGATGTAAAAATTAGCCAAATGAATCACTCAAAATCTTACCTTAAAAGTCACAGTTAAACACATATATTGAGAAATCATAAGATTATGTCAAGCTACTCAACAACACAAACATTAACATCACAAGATTATGCAATATTAACACAAGTAAATCATTAATTTAAAAACACAAAATTATATGTTAAGCTCATAATGGCTGAATAGTCATGGCAGCCTGAAAAAGAAAATTAAATGGAATAATCCTCCCTCTTTACATCAAAATCAAATTCAAATTCAAATTCAAATTTACAAGTTAAGATGATCAAACCCTATATTAAAAAATCTAACCATCTAGTAAAAAGAAAAAATAATAGAAAACAAAAGAACTTAACCAATTTAAAGCTCAAGGCTCATCCTTCATCTTCGTCTCTCTAGGATTCCACCAAAGAACTTAGCCAATCTTCATCATCTTCAAGAACCCTAGGATAGAAGCTTGTTGGTTGAACTCCATAGCACCTTGGATGAAGAAGAGCTTGGATCCTTGAGGACATGGGAGGGGATAGATGAAAATGAAGAGAGGAGAAGAATGGTGTGAGTTTTGTGAACGTTTGGTGGTTGAAAACGGGAGATATGGTGCTAGAAAATGAAAAACACTATGAACCAGTGAGAGAAAAATGAAGCAAATGAAATAAAATGGATGGTTGATCTGAATGAGGGCCGAATGGTGTGCAAATCCTTGTTTCCCATTAGCTGAAAGCTTAATTAAAAAATAAGAAAAGAAATTAAAACGGAAATAAGAGCCTTGTTACACTTGCATGGTGGCAACCTTCTATTGGTTTGTAGATGATTCCAATATGTGTGCAATTTTTCATGTGTCATCTGCATTATTAAACTGATTTAATCCCCAAAATAAATTAGAAGTCATGCCCCATGCTCCAACATTTGACCTCTAGAAGCATTGACCTCAATTGCCCAATTGATACACAAGTCACATGCCACCTATGTCATATAAATTACATAATTCAATTACATAGTAGGTGACATAATAAAATATAATTAATGTTTAGAATTAAATTTATAATTAGAAGGAAGAATTTATTAAAATAACTAGGTTTCAGGTTGCTTAAAATTGTATAAGAATTTTCACACAAAGACAAACTAAAAACTAGGTCAACTAAGACACTTTAGAAAGTGTTGACTTTTCATTTAATTACTCCCAAACTAAAATGAATTTCAAAAATCTAATTTGACCACTTATCAACTGCACATAAAATGTACTTTGTCAATTTTGCTTGTACATTTTTTTAAAAGTTTATTTTTAGACCAAAATACACTTAGTACACTAAACCTAGACAATTAGGCAATTTTTCAAATCTAATGCAATGAGTGCACTTTGAGGTGATAAAAAATTAATAAAATGGTCCTAATTGACATAAATAAGTATATAACAAACGTGTTCTATCGTGAATATATTGGAAATTAAGTCTATATGGCATAGCTAATACCTTAAGATGCTAGGTGCAGCCTATCTTCTCCTTGGTACCTAAACAGGTGCAGTATTGGAGAATTGTTCTCCTAGTGCCTAAAAAGTGTAGTGTTGGAGACTATATTCCTTAGCATTTGTGAGATGTAGTGTTAGAATAAAAACACCATAATTACTTGTAATAGGGAAAACTTGTAATCCAAAAGTGGTTTAGGATGCCTTAGCCAGGTAGCCCTACCATGAATAGTGAGCTTGGATTGGACATATAGTATGGTCCTATGAAGCCTATAGGTTCAATCGAGAGTACTAGCAAATCACATAAACAGTGGTAATGCATTATACTATGGTGAATTTATTTATACTAATGTGTTTATGCATATTTCAATGCTTGGCATGTTAATCAATAATGTATATTATCTTAGTTGCTGAGATTTTTATCTCATCTTATGGTTACTATTTTATAGATTTGGAGTCAAACAAAGCACAAAAGAGTCGGGGAAGGATTAGTTTTTAACTAGTGATTGCAATGCCCCACACACTCTTGAATTGTGTACATAAAATTGTCAATATATAATATTATGAATTGCCAACTAAAGATGCATGTTCTTTTGATGGTTGCACTTATATGATAGTATAGGAATGTTATATTTTAGTCCAAGAATGTATATGTTGTGAATATGTAGTAATTTTATGGTGAATAGTTAAAATACTAGTACAAATGTAAAGGATGTTATATATATAGTGATAATGTGATTTTAGCGTGTTGTGTGGCAATGGTTTGGCTAAATGGTGATTGTTTATAGTATTGCATTACATGGCCATATTATGTGAAATCGGGCTTAAAGTGGTCAAATCTTGTATTTAAGTTGATGCTATGCATTCGAATGGTTAATCAGGTATATAATGATCCATTAGACTTGGTTGAGGCCCCATGTTAGGTTAATAGTATTAGGTTTGTCGTTTGAGTACTTGGATGTACCAAAATGATTTCCAAAATTCACCTTTTGCATGTGGTTGACCAAAATTCATATGCTATCTTGGATTGTAATATTTAAAAAAAATATATAAATTTTGTATTAATATTTATAAATAATAATATTTAAATTATTAAATATGAAAATATTTTTATATTTTAGCAATATTTATTAAATTTTATTTTTACAAGATTTTATGGTATCCAACGTTTTTAGAAAAAAAATTTTGGATGCCCGACACGCCTAAAACAAGAATTCATGAGTAAATTAGCACAAAAGAATAAAGTTAGAGTTTCACATGTCACTACATGTGGGCCCAATGCACATGCCATGTGAGCAAGAAAGCGCAAAGTACAAACAGAATGTGTTTTTTGCTTCTTGAAAAATAATTTAAGAAAAAAATTATCCCACTTATTAGTATTAAGTGCTCAATGCTTCTCAAAAGATATTCAAGGATAAAAAATAAAAAAAAACCTTAATTCTATATAAAAATACCAACTAAAAATTTAAGATACTTACTGTATTTTTTAAAAACTTAATAGGATTTTATTGAAATAAAAGGATTCCTCGCACTTAAGAGTCATTGCCCCTATATTATTGTAAATTTCTTTTTTTATCTTTTTAATATATTTAATCTTTTTTTTTTGGGAAAAAAAGAGTCATTGCTCTTTTTTAAATTATTTTCTTATAAACCACCCACGATGTCAGCGTCAATTCCTCCTCCTCCACATGAATAAGACAAGTCAGCTCCAAACAAAGAAGCCAGCCGCCCCTGGGCGTGAACCACTGAACCTGAACTTCCACTCTCGGAAATGATCAGCAACCCACCAACACAACAACGAGTCCTATGATTTCCTTTTCGTTTCCCTGCTTAGCTCTAACGTTTCTGTTTCTTGCTTCCTAATAACGCACTCATTTGTGTTTGCTTATTAATCGATATACCATCTCTTGACTCGTCATATTGTGAAAAATCAAAACCATAATTTTCTTGATAGAATTTACCTGAAAAAATTTAACGGCTCAATCTTTTGTTGCCCTTGTGAATGGCGAGGACTGGGTTGTTCGATCTTGAGAAGCATCTTGCGTTCTATGGAGCTTACCACAGCAACCCCATGAACATAGCAATCCACACGCTCTTCGTTTGGCCAATTTTCTTCTCTGCTCTTCTTATTCTCTACTTCGTCCCTCTTTTCTTCAACATCCCTAATGTTGAGTTTTCCCTCTTCGGCTACGACGTCGCTTTGGTTTGGAATCTTGGGTTCGTTGTTGCCTTGGTCTATTCCGTCTTTTACGCCAGTTTGGATCTGAAAGCCGGTTCTTTAGCCGCTGTGCTCTGTGTACATTGTTGGGTGGCTAGTAGCTTCCTTGCGTGCCGACTTGGGTTCTCTCTAGCTTGGAAGGTAAATCAATGTAGGGTTTTGTTGATGTGTCTGTACACACACGAGGAAATCCATTTTCCTGGATTTTTCTCTTTGATATTGACATTTCAAAGAACTTTCCTCCAAGAAGCTAACTGATTATCAAAATTTGGATGAAACCCATATATAGAATCTAATCTGTGTAATATAGAGAACAGCTGAACAGGTAGTATGCATATTTAGTTAAGTAATACTACAAAAGATAACTTTATGTACAGAGATTAATCTGACTACTAGAATTGATGTGACTCAGCATCATTATAAGGATGTCATATTGAGACTGCTAGATTTTTGTTGTATAGGGGAGGGACTATTTCCCTTAACTTTATGTACAAAGAGAGCAATTATTGTGCTCACAACCTTGTTAGGAATGCCCTTGATATGGTAGGTAGCTTTTATACCTTTGATCAACCACCACATTACTGTAGAAAGGTAGTAGATGATGAGAGGTTAAGATCGCAAATTATGTTCAGACTGTTTAATCCTTTTGATTAATGTTACCCTTTTTCATTCCAAACAAAAAAAAAAAAAAAAGATAACTCTTAGAAATGAAGAACCTAAAGTCCATATAAAGTCAGAATTTCATACTTTTAATATGGGTGAAGTCCATGACTTGCAATTCAATCACAACAGATATCATTATGACAGAAATTTTTAGGGATGGAATTAACATTGGGGTTAGGAATGAATAAGTTTATTGGTTCATCCAAACGTTTTTCTGCAATGAGGAACTACATGCCATGCTGGGAATTGAGGAATTAGAGAAAGAGGAATGTTGGCGAAGGCCTGGTTAAGATGTATCAAAAGGAAGTACTTTAGTTTTGATCCTATTTCATTTGTAGAAAGCCTTTGCTTCCTCAAATGCTGCTCTAATAAGATTATGTTTTTAAGGATTATCTAATTAAAAAATTCTCGTTGCTTAGGAGAAATTTAACTGGGATAAGCTTATTCTGTTCTTCCTCTTCCTCCAGCTCTGATTGATTAGCTTACAAATAAATGTGTCAAAACCTTGACTGTTTATTCAATATGCATTTACAAAAGTTCAATTGATTTTCAATCACTAAGCGCTTGCAGACTGAATTTTAGTTCACAGCCTTTAAATCTTAGAGAGAAGTTTTCTTAGCTGTTTCTGTGGTATTGCTTATGCATTTGGTCTTCCCAAGGTTTTATTATTTTTTATTAAATATGGTTATAGTCACAAAATGATAGTGCCACTATTTTGCTTGAGGATCCTGGTTCCATTTCCTTTGTAATCATAAAATAAGTATAGACAGCACCATTTTTAAAACTGGAATGTGATGTAGGAATATGAATGTTAGAAAAACCAGAGTAAGAGAGGAGGAAAGTTTAGAGAAAGATTAGATGAGAGAAAGAAGAACAGCATGGGAGGAGTGAGGTGAATTGATGTTCAATGCTTCAAACGTCCTTGCAACTTCCATGTAGGTTTTCCTAGATTCTGACATTTTCACTGATCGGAGCCACATCTGATCTGACTTTGTTGTTAAGGTGGACCTTATAGATACTTCGAAACTTATTAGTACCATCATATCAATCAGTATCTTGTACAAGTCTGAATGAATTTAAAAAATTTAGTTGAGTGGATCATTTGATTCTCAAGAGTTCTCGTCTTTTCATCTCGTACCTCTTAAAATTTTCTTGGGATAAAGGGATTCATGTCTATCTCTTTTTTATTGTACATTCTCCTATCTTCTGTTAAAAGTTCACCGACTCTTTCTCTCTCAATCGTAGCCTGTAGATAATTCATAATGGTTATTGTATGTAATCTGGAAGCTTCAAGCTTAGGTGGTTGATAAAATAAACTGGGAAAATTCTAAATGCAATGGTTAATTACTCTTAGGAGGTGAATGAAGAAGGACCGAGAAGGTTGATTTTAACCGACATGTGCAAGTATAAATAAGAAGCATTGGGTAATGTAGTGTGTGTGTGATGTGAGAATTGAGAAGAAAGAAAGAGAGACGTGGAGAGATAGCCTAGAGAGTCTAAGCTGTGAGAACAGAAAGGATTGTGCCGGGTGAAATTGGGGTGACGTTGAATCAGTAGTCTGGGATTTTGCATTGGACAAATTGATTTGAGTGTGTTGAGTCTTTCAGTTATGCGCTTGTTGCCTTTTATAGAGAAAGGTAACTGTGCGCTCCTTTAACTTCAAATTTCAAAACCAAGGGAAGTAGGTAATTTTGTGGGTATGCCTCGTCTTGGGAGAGTGGCGAGACTGATTGTTCCGCCTTATTCAAGAAGTGGGGAGAGTGGCGAGACTGACTCGCTGAGCCTCTAAAACTCAGCATTCCATTTAACTTTAGAAGGCCGAATAGCGCTGGGCATTTATCCTCTTTTAATCTGATTTGGGCATTGCCAATTGTGAATTTAAGCCTAGTGTGCCAAATCTAGTCCAAACAATTAGTTAACTACGAGTAGCCCTTAGATAGAAACTATAAATGGGAGGGAATACCTATTGTAAATAGAGATTATGGCTTGGATAATAAAGCAAGAATTTCAGATTGCTCTCTCTCTCTCTACCTCTCTTCTCTCTGATATCTCTCTTTCTCTCTGTCTCCCTCTCCTCTCTTCTCTCTGATATCTCTATTTCTCTCTGTCTCCCTCTCTTCCTCTTTCATTCAGAATTACAAACCTCCAACAAAGGGAGGGAGCATAGGAAAGTATTGGTGGTGAGAGATAGGAGTGACGAAAGAGAGTGAGGGGAGTGAGAAAAGTTAAGAGTGATATATTTTACTATTTGAGAATGTAATAGAAGTTTCTTTTTCAGTTGAGCTCCTCGCTTTCTCTACCCTTAAATCCCAACATCTTCATGCTACCAACATAAACCCAAGCAAACGTTTAATAGGATGTTTAGTCTTAATCTATAAGGTTTTATTGTTAACCCCTAATCTAATCATTCCCTTTGTTCTCTTATAAACTTGGAACTTTCATTTCTCACTTTCACTTTAACCTGAAAATCGTTATGCTTCCAGCTTGTTCTGGTGGTTCAGCTAGTATGTTGGACGGCACAGTTCATTGGTCATGGAGTATTTGAGGTACTCTGCTTTAAGATAAACTGATCCCTGACCCTGACACGCAAAACCATATATATATATATATATATATATTCACACAAACACACACACACACACACACACGAGAGGCTTAGATTAATTCTGTTCTACAGAAACGAGCACCTGCTCTTTTGGATAACCTTGTTCAGGCCCTTATAATGGCTCCTTTGTTTGTCTTACTGGAGGTATTGTCCTTATAATTTGAATAATGTCTTTGACATTGTTTTGTTGGATTTTTTTCCCCTATTTTCCCCCCGAGTGTTGTTCTCTGCTTGAGATTCATTTTATGATATTTCATTTCCTTCAGGTTCTCATGAGTTTATTTGGATATGAGCCATACCCTGGATTTCATTCAATAGTTCAGGAAAAAATAGAAGCTGACATCAAAGCATGGAAAGAAAATAAGCAGCAGCTGCTTTCTTAGCTTCTTTTTGTGCCTCCTTAAGAAATGCTTTGTTACAGTAACTGTAAATAATATAAGATAATGGTGTCTAGCCAGATTATACCATTCATGTTAAAGAATTTGTTTTAGAAGTTTAAAGTTCGAGCGAATTTTATTTGTACATTAATTGTGAAAAGATCCTCGCGTCCATAGTGAAACTTGAACCTGTGCCTCGTGCAGAATATGGACACTTTTAGTTCTTCAAATTTTTCCTCAATTTTAATTTTTCACTTTTAATTTTTATCAATTTAATTCTTTGTGTTTTCTTAAATTATCATTTGAGTCATTTCCGTTTTAAAATACAAATTGAATATCAAAATAATTTAAAATATAAAGTATATTAATGACTTGATTTGTATATATAGTTAAATGAAAATTGAATAATTTTTAAATTAGTTTAATTTTTATTGATGTAATTTTTTACATTGTGTTTTGTTATTCATTTTAAAATTTCAAAGTCAATTTTTCATATTTAAATAATTATATTTATTTTTACTAATCTATATTGCTGCCATTAATATTTTGTCTAAAAGCATGATAAATGATAAAGCACAATGGTGTCTTACAATCCATGTAGACAATCTCATTTAATGGAATAAAGGCTTATTGTTATTGTTGTTATTATTAATATTTTGGTATTTATATGATCAAATTTAACTATATTACTTGTTTTAAAGTAATAAAGATCAGATTAATAATTGAGATATGTTTGAGGGATTAAAAATTATATTTTTTTATAATTACCAGCTTTCATTGACAATGATAATGTTAAAAAAAAGTAAAATATTGCAAAATACCTTCTTGTTATGTTTTGACTATAAAATTTGTTAACTACGGTAACAATGAGATTAACCAGGCCTTAATTCATCCATGTTAGAGGAGGGGTCAATCTTCTCTCCTAAATTCTTCGCAGTGTAGTAAGAAAAAGCCGCCTTTATTTTGAATGTATTTAGAGATACAATTATTTGATCTAAAGATAACCCAATCAATGTACTTCATAATCATACAAGGCGTTGATTGGCCGCAAATTAACCAATTGTTTTGGATATACTTCCTTCAATCTCCATTACATGACAACTTAAAGAATTTTTTTTTTTTTAGTCTTAATTTAAGACACTTTATGGAATATTAAGTATTCTCTCCATAATACAATATACAATACGTTCTAGAAGTTTTGTTTGATAAAAAAAATATAAGATATTACGTAACATTTATAATTATTTTTTCAACCATACCCTTACTTTATTTATTATTCTTTTTTTTAAATAATGCATTAAAATTTAAATTACTATTATTAAAGTACTTATATAAGAATTTAATGAGGTTTTAATTGGAACTATTTAATTTTTTTTATAAAATTAAAGTTTCAACTAATATTTTTTTAGAACTGTTAATTAATTACCAATATGCCATGCTATGGTTTAGGGGAGCATTTTTTTTTTAATATTGCCCTTATTTGAACTCATTAACCATGAAATAAAATATAATGCAAATTTGAAAAAAAAAATTGGGGCAAAATTGGAAGTTCATTTTTTTTTTCAAGTAAAGTTAATAATTTAATTACATTTTTTTTATTCTGGTAAGATAGTTAAAATTGTTTTATAATGGCGTCCAGATGAGCATTTTGAATAATAAAAGCATGCATAGCTTTATTATATTATCTATTCATGCCTCTAGTCATAAATCATATTAATTGAAACGAGTGAAGTGTGAGATTAAAACTATGCTAGATTTAGATGGACATCACAAAAGTGCAAACCAGATTCTCTAGGAAAACCATAAGCATACAAATACAGATTGAGACCATGTTGTGTGAGCACTTTGCATTGCAGCTTTGCAAGTGCATCCATATCAGATGGGAAAACATTTATGTGAAGAAGAAAGCAAAACCTTTGACTGACAAATTTTATTTGGTCTTCCAAGAATATTCTCCTTTTGTTCTACACATGTAGTTCACGGAATCTTTGAACAAAACACAAATGAGTCATTGCAACTTGTAAGTAAACTAACCTTTGACGTAATCATATTATATCGCCCAGCATTATCTATTGCTACACGTGTTACAAATCAAAAAGGGCCACCATGTGAATGGCAAGATGGGTGCCGGCGTTGTGCGCGCGCGCGCGCGTGTGCATATGTAATAAATATAACACTCTAGTAACTATAATTTTTTGGCTCATTTAACAAAATTCACATGACATACGGGGCCAACACTAATTTTATACAAGAGTTAGGCATTTTTGCGCTTAAATTATTTATTTTAAAAAAATTTTAAATTATCACACTATTTTAGGGAATTAATTAATATTAATTTTTATAGGATACTTATGTGAATATTTTTTGAGTCATTTGTGTAAGTTTTAATTTTTTTCTGTAATTTTTAATTAAGTCAATTAACTGTTAATGTTAACTTTTTAATCATAGAGTGTTTTGTGCAATATTTTTAAATATTTAAAAAAATTGCATCACATATAAATTTAGAATGTAACACCTTTTTAAATAAATAGTTGATGATGCTATTTAAACCTATATATAATATCACAAAAGCAAAATTGGATATAAATAAATAAAATAAGTTCCGGAATTTATTATTGTTTTCTAATAAGCATCCATGGTATTATTTATTAATTTAATTAAGTTTTATATGAAGAGTAGCTTTCCCAACTTAATTTTAAAAGAAAAATCCATAAAACTCTAACTTAATATCTTATTTTAAATTTATTGAATTTGTAGGTGGTTGGTCAATCTCTTTCTTGCTATATGTTATAGTGTTATTGCATGCCATGCCGTCCTCAATCTCATTGTCAACTCTTCGGCTACGTAGTTTGAAAAATTATTCATGTCCATATCCACTTCTTGGTTGAACAAATCAATTTGATGTGAAATATTCGTATAAGTTAGCATGCATCAGAACCTAATTTTCTCATGTATTAGTAATTTAAATGAAGTAGCTAATTATATAAAATTATACATTACATTAATATGCATTTGGATTTACCATGTATTGTTAAACCTGTAGAATAATTAATTGGAAGATGAGACATAGAAATAAAATTTCAAGAAAAATTACGTTATGAAACGATAAGAGGAAAGGAATGAACTTATCGATAAGTTACGACTCTGCCTAGTGTCGCTGACCTACCTAACACTGCTTGGAATATATTACTTGGATTGAACCAGGTGACATAAGAGCACATAATTAACACCACTCATTCAAACAATTCAACTTGGTTTAATTGATCTTATTTATAAAAAAAATCTTATTTTTATTTGACTTCCAATCTCATTATCTCACAAACATTGAAATATATATATATATATATATATATTATATGTGTGTGCACGCGGACATATATTTTATTTGATGCGTATTATATTATTTTTGAGATAAACATTTTAATATTTAGTATTTTAACTAATTTAAATTTAAAATGGTGAGTTGAGTCTCAATTAGAAAGAAGCTCTCCTAACATAATTTTTTCATTTATAAGGCTTGAATTTAAGATTTTACTTAAAAATGTTCATGTGTATTTATAAAGGAAGGAATTCAAAAATATAATAATAATGATGATGATGATGATGAAGAAGGAACTCAAAAATATTACTATTATTATTATTATTATTATTATTATTATTATTATTATTCGTATATTTTAAAGGGTAAAGTATAAATTAATAAAATTTAAAGAAATATAATTAAATATAAATTATATTAATTAATTTATCGCATATTATATTAAATAATAATTTCATTAAATTCTTTTATATGTGTTTGAAATATTATTTTAGCAAACTTATGTATTTATTTATGAAAAATTAATAAATAAATAATTTTGCACAACTAAAAATAAAATATGAATAAAAAAGTAAAAAAAAACATATGTATTAATGTTTTTTTATATTAAATGATTTTAAATAGCATTTATGTTTAAAGTGGGGTTATTTGGTCTAACAATATGACTTAATGGTCAACTAATAATTGAGTAAATGAAAATAACATTTTTAAAGTAAAAAGGAGGTTTGTATTTTATGATTATTAATTCTATGGGAGATCTTATAGGTTTTTAAAATAGAAGGAGGTATCTTTAATTAAAATAAAATAAAGAGAATCTCAATGTATTTTACTCTATTATTTTTGTGATTTCATTTTTCACTCTGTTATTATTCATATATTTTAAAGAGTAAAGGAGGAATGTTGTATATTCTCTCAAACGAAACTTGTAATTCGATGTTAATAAAAATTTTAATTGTGTGTTTTTTTTTCCTCCAACATATTCCCACAACTGGCAATAGTGTGGCAATAGTAAGACTAATCTCTTGAAAAATTTAAGTATTATTTAAAAAATTATTCTTTCTCAAGTAATATTTTTTCATCTACCTTCAGGAATTGAATTTTAAAATAATGCTTAAGGAACTCAAACCGTTATCATTTATATCATGTCCACTTGGTTATTTTAATCATACGTTAATAAGCATATCAGTAACTTCTTTAGTATTTGTTATCAATGGCAAAAGGGTATTTAGTGCCAGAATGACCAATTGACCATCCCACCTCGCTGCTGGCACGTTTTAAGAGAAAGTTGTAAATATAATTATGCACCTTATTTTGGGTGGATAATGTGTTTAACTTCAACAACGTCAAGTTTTTCAAATTAAATTAACCCAACTTTAAACAGGCGTATACAACGTATCATAAAATCCAGCTTCCTTAACATGACATCTACAGTAATACACAAACCGTGTTTACTAGGTGAATAAAAAGGTTTAATATCCCTTAAATAAGATTGAGAATTAGAATCTTGCAAGCAATAACCCACAGAAAAGTCTCATCAAATTATAAATTTACTCTGAAATTTCTCGTTCTCGACCAAAGCTGTCAATTATTGTTGAGTGGTAGTTATTAGTGGAGTTGACAACTAAGTATGGCAGTAATTAACAATATTTAGCAGTAATTAATATAGCTTGGATAAAAAAAATGAAATTTTCAGTATAATTTTATAATTTTGTAGGATTTTTCTGCATTTAAATTTCTTGTATTGAGAATATTTTTTCTTAAAATCACATTGAAAAAATTGTCCCTTTTAATAGGTATTTAGTTTTATATTAGAAAGTATGGTTTTGATAGCTTCCATAACAAAACGAAACATGTCCTTAAACTAATAAATGTTGACATGGCAATTGATCAGTAGTACTAGATATAAGAGTGAAAGAATAAGGGGACCAGTAAATGACACGACCCCAAATTTTTAAATTTTCATAATATTAGATATATGTTACATACTCATGGCTTTTCAAAATTTATGACAGTTTTATAATAACATATATGATTTAAAATCTGACTTTAGATAAATTCTGGCTCCGTTCCAGATTAGATGTCAGAGAGAAGTATGCATACAACTAGAAGTCAGAGCATATAATGAGCACTGTGACACGGCATCCAAATCAAACACGTCAATTTGATTGCTATCCCCACGGCTAAGTTACTGTTTCAATAAGCAACCCAAAGTACAATGGAACGACTAATTAAATTAACTCTTTGGTCTCAATAATTGACTTGTGCAGTATTAATCTGCCAATTACATCCTTCATTACAGTCATAATATTTTATTATTACACCAAGTCAGTGGGTTGTTAGGCCTTGTTTGGCTCCACAAGTTTCCAAAATACATGATCTCATCATCTGTTTTCTCTTTCTTATAACATGGTTTTCAGAGTTTGTTTTGAATCCTACTCGTTTTCAAACATTCCACATCAGTTGATAAATTCAAGAGCCTTTTAAATTGCAAGGAGCAGTAGAATGACATAAGCAGATATGATTGATTGTACCAGAGACAAGGAAAGTAATTCCAGAACTGTACAATTAAATTACAAGGAGCCCAATAAGGTCTTTTTTCTTTTGTACAAATAGTATAAACAATATTTGTCATCTCGGATTAGATGCCACTTAATCTAAGATTTTTCCAGAAAAAGAATCTTGGAATGATTATCATAATATGAGGGTGACGATTCTCGTCTTTTTCTGAACAACCTAATCTTCTTCTTCATCATTGGTCATCATCATCATCTAATCTCTGATCATTCATTCACACCTGGTTCACAAAATATTGGCTGGTTGATGATGGTGCTGAATAGTACTGGTCTGAGACCTCAAAGACCTGATGTTTTACAAATGGGTCCATTATGTTCCCAGCATTATTCATCTGGTAATCCAAGGTGGAGTTATAGGAAGGATCAGACAGAACGTGTGAGATAGGAGCCAAGTAAGTATCCATTTCAAGAAGATGAGTCAGAGAACAAGTCCTCGGAAATTTCACCATGTTTTGCTCATTCCCAATGTTATCTTCTTCTGTTATGTTCATTTGCGGACTTGGGTATTCCTCCTTGAGTTCGACTGATGATTTTGACACGTTCTTCTTCTTGTAAATCCTACACAGCACCCAGTCATCTAACTGGTAAAACACAAAAAGGGTATGGCTCAGTCAGATCAAACAAGTTACAACAACAACAACAAGCTTTATTCCACTATGTGGATCGGCTACACGAATTAAATCACGCTATTGAGACTTACTCTCATGGATCCAATATGCTTGTTGGCTCGTCTTGGAGGACCAATGAGGCGATACTCATGCATGATCCAATCGGTCTTGACACCTTTTGGTGGCCTTCCTTTGTAAACGACCAGAGCTTTCTTCACCCCAATGTGTTTGGCCCCACTGTAGATTGCTTTATCTGTGCCAGTGGCCTTCCAGTACCCCGACACAGTGGCCCTGTTTGGCCTCACCCCATTTGGGTACTTCCTGTCTCTCGGGCTAAAGAAATACCACTCATTCTCCCCAAACACTGCCTTCTCTGCATTTCATCACACCCCAACAACAATAATAAGCCAAGCATGCTAATCATCAGTTTGAACCATGATATATATATATATATATATATATCCAAGAAAAACAGAGGAGACATGTTTTATTTCTAGGAAGAACAGAACAGAGCAAACAGAGAGACACAAATTGAGAGAAGTGATGAAGCAAGTAAGTGTTGGAATATACTTACCAGGTAATTGCCAGGGATCAAACTTGTAGATATCAACTTCAGGGATGATAGATGCAGGGCAAGGCTTGGATGTGGCTTGGTTACAAAGGTAATGGACGATTAGTTCCTCATCGGTGGGATGGAATCTGAAGCCAGGAGGAAGACCAGAGCCTCTTGTTGTTCCGAGCTCCATTGAAACTTGTTTGTTTCTCAGAGGCAAAGTATCAAAAGGTGGTGTGCGAGTTACAGAGTAAGAAAGCAGAGAAAGAAGAAGAAGAAGAAGAAGAAGAAGGAATCTGTAAACAAGACTTGAGAGAAACGAAGGTGTTTGAAATGTTTGCAAGGAAGTGGAAGGTGCTTTTATCGTTGGGGGATTTTGTCGTTTTGTGGACTTGCCGACGTTTGATTGGTTCATCATACGACTTTGGCTATTCCTATTCGTATTCCTATTCCTAGTAAGTAGTATTATGCGTCATCTGAGAAAGGGCCCCATCTTTTTTTTTATAGTTGCGGCTAGAAACACTTTGGATGTTTTCGGGGTGAGATTATATACATATATACAGCTCCAACGCTTATCCATAAATACGTTTGTCTTTCATGAAGTCTCTGGCAGTAGACGTTGAATGGTAATAATTTATACATCTTGCAATTACAGAAACAGTTTTTTGGCAATAAATTACAGAAATAATTTGCATACTTTTTTGATGAAAATAATTGTGTATACTACATTTGAGCATAAATAAGAAATTAATAATGAATATAAAGAAAAAAAGTGACTTTCATATGCACCAGTATTCCCTCCATTTTAAATTATAGAATATTTTTAAAGGAGTTTCTTCATTTCAAAATATAAATCACTTTGGATAAATTAAAATTTTTTTAAATGTTCCAATTCTAATACTATCATTTCTCTTCTATAATTAATTTCTGTCCCTTTTTTAATATATTAAATTATGAATATTTTTAAAAATTTATATTTTTATTTTAAAAAGATAAAGTTATTAAATGTATTTAATAATGTTTATTGGTATGTGAGATTTTATTTAAAAATGTCTTATAATTTATGACAGAGAAATCACATTTTTTTAATACTCTCCCCACAATGCATGATTTGTAGAAATGAGCATTCGGTTTTTTTTAATTATTTAATACTTCTTCCATTAAAAAAATATAAATATACTCCCTCGTTAAAAAATATAAGGTATTTTTAATCAAATCTCACCCCAATAAAGTAGTTACTTATCTTTAAAGTAATAATATCTTTTCATATTTAACCCTATTTAATAAATAATTTTACCTTAAAAATATAAAGTAATCTAGTCAATAGGGCACTTTTGAAAAAAAAATATAATGATTATACCTTAAAAAGCTCAAAATGTCTTATATTTTTTAACATCTAACCCCTTAAAAAATATTTTATATTTTTAAACAAAAGGAATAAGTTATTTTGAATCTTTCAAGATACAATTAATGATTCTTTTCCAAAAATTTCCTTAATTAGATAGCATACTTAATATTATTTTTTAATTGAGAAATCCTATTAAATATGAATAAACATGAAAAGAATATATAATTTTATAGATAATTAAAGAGTGTAATTCCATTAAAAGTGTTATATAATATTGAAGGGAGAGGGTATTCAATATTAGTCAACTTATATTTAAATATTATGGTATACCTAAATAAAAGGAGTGCTTTTATTCTTTTTTCCCCACTTTTATTTACAAAGTTATGAACCTTTAATCTTAGTTTAAAATATTAAACATCTTTCATTTCGTAATAACCAAAAGGATACAACGATACAGGTTTGACATAAAAAAAATAGGGAATGGGAAAAGGACCTAATCAGCAAATTAATTGTAAAAAAAAAAAGAAAAAAAGAAAAAGACCTGAATCAGAATTTACAATCTATCTTCCATAATCTGCACTTTATCTTTCTTGATTTTGTGCTTTTTCTTCTATGTTATGCAATTTAGATCCTTTCTCCATTAATTAATTTGCTGATTAGGTCCTTTCCCTCCAACCTTCTCAAGAAATTATTGCCTATGTTTAAGCTACGAGTAGTGATTATAGACCTTGAGTGAGTTAAAGAGTTCTCCCCCTCCTAAAATTATTGATAATTTATCTTTTAATTATTTTTTAAAATATTAGTATTATTATCATCATTGATTCATTCTGCAAAATTTTGATTAATTAATATTATTTGAGATTATCCAATTAGAGAAAGTGAATATGAGATGGATTCCCACGACTCATCCACCCAATTGACAGGTACTTGGACTCACTGCTTTCCAAGATTCGCTGAGTGCATGAACCTCATAGCGTTGTCATACACACGAATGTTACCAGCATAGTTCTTTGTTTCTAAATTAATATTCTTTCCAACAAATTTTTTTTATTAAAAATATGGAAGGTTTTTATAGTGTTAAACAATAAATTTGCCCCTGATCTATGCTCTCGGGCCTCAATCTTATTTTCAATATAATATTTTTTTAATTTTTAAAAATAATACAATATTGCTCATTAACAAATGTTAATTTTGAGTGTTAATTGATTAAAATATTGCAGAAAAAGACTTCAAAAAATTATAAAAAAATACAAAAAAAATTTACTCAGTCATTTTCTATAATTTTTAAGTCATTTTACATAATTTTTGATTTTTTTTAAATATTTGAGGTCTTTTTTATATTTTTTTTCAACTAATAATTAAAGTTAATTTCTGTTTATGGCTAGGGGTGCTATTATATTATTTTAAAAGATAAAAAAAATTATTATACTAAAAACAAGTTTAGGGGTCTAAAATTTAAGAGTTAAAATTATATTTTTAACCCTTGTTTTTATTGTTAATCAAACTCTCAACTACTTGCGACAAAATCTTCTATTGCCTGTGTTAATTAACTTAAAACCTCTACTAGTTTGATTAATAACATTTATATGTTCTAATTTTAAGAGATATATCAATTTGTCTTTCTTAAGCCACCTGGGGCTTGCTCAAAGAGGTAAGAACCAATGGTAGAGGTTAGGCTTTTAATATATAAAATTATATTAAAAGGATGGCTAATTCAAATTGATCAGCGGATAAGTTAATATATCATTATTTTTTCTTTACTATTGAAAAATAACATCTGTGTATTGGCACTTAAATTAATAGACGCCTGTCAATAGGTAATTTATATATATGATTCCGTCAAAACAGATGGATATACATAAAGGTGCGGAATAAAGTTGGTCAACAAATGTGTTCTAAATATCTTTATCAGATATAGATATATATCTTAAACAATTTATATTTAATTCCATCAAAACAAATGAAACCATATAACATGTATGAATTGATATAAAATCTATATTATATATCAATTTTATATTTTATATGCATTATATTGTCAGGTCGCTCTCTGTTGAATGAAAGTGAATATTCCCATAATAATGCCATTCATTCTGGATAAGGCACACATATCAAATGATTGGACTCTCAGCAGCCAATTTCTTTCCTTCTTTATTATTATTATTATTATTACTTGGTTTGTTTTGTTTTTAGATTTTCACGTAATTATGAATATGATGTTGAAAAGAAGCTGAAAGAGAAACAAGTTTGAAAATTCAAAGATTCCTTGAAAAAATGAAAATATCGTCAGAAGCTACTTTCAGTTTGGTCCTTTTTTTTTTTTTAGTTAAAAAGTTTGGTCCTTTTTATGTGCCAAGCTATTGTAAGTTAGTTTCATGCAGGAAAAGAATTGATCAGTTTGATAAAATATGAAATTAAACCAAAACTAAACAAAAAAACAAAGTGTTAGAAAATGTAAGGTATTAAAATATTAAACAAACCAAGATATTTGCTCGCCATATCATGTTGAATCCGACATAAATAATATAGATAAAGAGCAATAGCAAAATATATGAAAAAATAATTTCAAATAAATAATAATAAATTTAAAAGTAAATATAAGAGTAAAATTATAATTTAACAAGTTAATAAATATTGTAGTAATTTAAAAATTAAAAAATAATAAAAATAGTCAAAAGATATGAGATATCTATAATGTATATACTTTTTTTTTGGGCAAAATATATATACTTATTTTATAAGATATAATGTTATGATAAACATATATACAGGCGCGCTCCCCCCCCCCCTCCCCACACACGCACAGCCTAAATGCATTCTAGTTTTCATTTTCTAATTTTTATTACGTATACATGTGCTTAAATTATAAATTAGAGACATGATTTAAATTTAAAAAAATAAAATAAAATCAATCAATTCAAACAAGTTAATACTATTTTAACTAGTTCTACCATTTCTTGACTGATTTTGATTTTGTACATTCCATCCCTCTAAACTCATGATATAGTAAGTTGCTGTAATGGCTCACAAATGTCCGAACAAAATTTGTGATTATATTATGATAGCAAGTACTCACTTAAACATGCATTATAGTGGAAAAATCTCATAGGTGTTCTGAGGATTAAATGTAGGCTCAAGTGATTGGAGTTGAATCAAGATAAATCACTATTTGCAATGACTCTGCCCTTCTCTCTTTATATTTCCATCAACTTTAGTGTATGCTCTATTTTAGTGTGAAAAATTAAATTTGATATATTTACATTCTCTTAATCAATCTAGTACTTAAAAATTAGTTTTAATCATTCTTATACATATTGAGTTTGTGAAAATTACTTTAACATTCTTGCGATTAGAGTTTAGAACTTGAATTTGCTCAAACTTACTTTCATACTCCATTTTACTAGGAAAAAGTTTTAAAGCACTCAAAATTCCATTACCACCCAATTTACCCTCCTCTTGGATATAGGCTCAAGTAGATTGAGCTAAATTAGGATAAATCATAGTTTGCGTTTCCAACAGTTATAGTTTATACATCAATTAAACACTGAATTTGATATATTTACAAGTTCTCACTAAAACTTCCACTTATAAATTGTTTCAATCATTCTTACACTCATTAATATGATTGTAAAAAATTGCCTAAGTGTAGGATTTTGTGCATTAAGGGTATTTTAGTCATAAAATTAGGCTTTTGAGAAAATGTTTGAGAAATTTTGTCAAGAAGAAATGTTTGAGAAATTTTGTCAAGAAGCATTTTTAGTCTATAAGAACAATGGTCCAATTAGATTTCTCAAATTCATTTTACATTGAGAGTAATTAATTTCACAAGTTGACTATTTTGAAAGTTAAAGTTTTGGGTTTGACTTGTTATCTTGCACTTAGGCTAGGTTATTTTAGTTTATGTGAGGGCTTACATTTTTTTATGTTGAATGGCATGCCGCTAACCTCTTTTGTGATGTCAAAATTGACTTTTATTATTTAATTTGCATTGTGTCACATATTTAGGAATTCATTTTAATTGAAAATACAAATTACTATCTATATACCTTCAGCTTTGATTTTGTGGTCACATTTGTTTGCAT